CAAACTTAGCTGATTATGCAGAAGCGTCTGAATACGTGTTCACAAAGTGTTAAGAATCTGATTATAAAACGAAATGCGCATGAATGTTTTAAACCTAAATAAATCAAGAAAGGCCATAGCATATTCATTTAGTGTAATATTCATTTTTTTAGGAAATTGCACCATGATTAAGTCTTGTCTGCGTGAAATAATTTACTAATAAAATAAAGTTGAAATCGAAGCCAGTCGTCACATGATGACAACGACATTGTGCCATCGTGTAGCATACTCATTGCTTTAAAAGCTTTTACTAAACAAAAAACAGGTAAGATGATTCTAAATGGAAAAGCCAATATGCAATCCGGACTCCTCGGACAAAGGACTTTCTAACGACATGAGATTTGTAGCGTTTGATTGAGACATTTGTGAGGAAAGTTCCGGACAGACAAACGCAAGCGTATCATTTATATAGATCAGTCTTTTGTATTTTTATATGCCACATATATATCTTTAAAGAATACTATTAACTAACTGTTGTTTTGTACTTTTATCTGCCACATATCTAATCGTAAAGAGTAGTATTAACTAATTAATATTCTATACTTCTATCGCCATATATATGTGTAACCTATGATAAAAAATATTATGTATAATCCTTCACAAAGCTGGGAATCAAAACTACATTAATAATAATAGTCCGTCATCTGTACCGACGCTACTGACACACACGGAGGAGTTACAGGATAGATCCTGCGACTGACGATACTTGGTGTATGAGTTTTTATTCATTTCTATCAATACTTCTTGACCTACGTGTTTTTCTAACATCATTAATGTATGAGTTTTTATTCATTTCTATCAATACTTCTTGAACCTACGTGTTTTTCTAACATCATTAATGTATGAGTTTTTATTCATTTCTTTCAATACTTCTTGAACCTACGTGTTTTCTAACATCATTTATGTATGAGTTTTTATTCATTTCTATCAATACTTCCTGAACCTACGTGTTTTTCTAACATCATTAATGTATGAATTTTTATTCCTTTTTTTCAATACTTCTTGAACCTACGTGTTTTTCTAACATCATTAATGTATGAGTTTTTATTCATTTCTATCAAGACTTCTTGAACCTACGTGTTTTTCTAACATCATTAATGTATGAGTTTTTCATTCATTGTTCACGCGAGTAATTAAGAAACTGAATGTAAAATGGCAAACAATAATCATTACTAAGATAAAGCATGGTTACTTAAGCAACTGTTTGTATTTTCCTGGTTTAATATCTACAGTCAGAGAATAAGTTGTACATAATGCTGCATTTGATTGGGTAATAAGAAAAATCTGTATGTATGTTTGTTTTGCTTTATAGGCGTTATTTCTTGTTTGTTTTTAAGCACAAAGGTACACAATAAGCTATTAGGTATCAAAACGCGGTTTTTAGCGTTATTAGCTTTCAGATTTACCGCTGAGCCACTGGAGAGGGTCAATAGTGATTAAAGATGTGAATTATAGTGTGTACGTCAACAAATCAGACAAAACCACATTTCTGTTTGTATCTATTTATAAACAAAAGTGGAGAAGTAGGTAATATTATATAAAAGCAACATACTTATCAATATCTTAACAAAGTAATGTGGCGTATAATACATTACATCAATATGTCGATAGTTCGGGTATTATCATAGTACATGATGTGTTGTATACTAAAGTGTTCAATCAGAAACCTAAGTATACTGTGTCAGTTACTATCTTGGATAGTTGAAAGTTGAACGTAGAAAAACTTTATAAGTTACTTGGAAATCTTATGCAGGGCTTATGTTTATGAGCTTACATATCTGTAAACTCGCAAATGTTTGTGTTTCTCGCGAATGTATTGACTAAGACATTATCCAATAAAAGTATTTCGTAAAAAAATTGCGATTCGTGCATTTTTCTCAGACCATATAGTAATTAATAAATCAATGAACGTGAGGATTGATTTTTATATTTTCTTGTGCGAAAAGAAGAATACAACTAAAATACCCTTTGTTTGATATTTCCATAAATTATTTATATTTTATATTAAGGCTTTATGAGTTTATTGTCCGTTGAACGTTTGTTTTGGAATTTCGTATGTCAAGTTTTCTTGAAAAGCGTTAAATAGTGCAAAATAAAAACATTGAGTGTTTGGTTATATGTAAATTAATTCAATTATTTTATGTTATGGACAACAACAACTCCCTCGAAAAATCAAACTGTAAAGCCGAGTATTTACAGCAATATGCAATTCTTAGCTGTGAAATCTGGATTTTGGAAAGAATTAAGAGAAGAAAATACTTCGACTTTCGTTAGTTAAGCAGACATAGTAGAGATATTACAGACACGTGAATAACGAACATACCAGAACTGTAGCAGCAGCTGCGGTAAAGGATAAGACATGTTGTTAGCAGAGAGCAGCTGTGATATCTCTTCAAGTTATCCGTTCGTGAAACTTTCACAGAATGATCTTTTTTTTGCATAACTCTATCTCCAATTTTTGTTTTAATTTTTCTGGGACGAACCCTGTTTTCTTTATTGGTTTATAGGATAAAATTGTTTTAAGTTGTATTTTTTTCGATATGTGTTTCGTTAGATCGATATTTGAATATACAGTGATCAATAAATTGTCGTTATTATCTTACAAGTGAAACTGAAGGTACATTTTCTGGACATAAATATTTTCTAATATTCATACGAACTTCATATCTAAATTCCTAATTGTCCTCTGATTATTTACTTAATCTCTTAATTTCACGTACGTTAAAAAAAACAACTTGAAGCATCTCATCACAGTCGTTGTCGATGAAAAATGATAACTTAAAAAACTGAACAGGGGTAATGGAGAGAAAACAGAGAGAGTTGAATGACAATTTACGGAAGAGGAAAGTTAAAATAAAGTGAATGATAAATAAATGTACAATACTTTATTGGAGAGAGAGAGAGAGAGGGAGAATTAAAAACAAAGCTGGAAAGAGAAGAGTTGATACAGACACAGATACTGAGAGTGATAGTATACTTTTGTATTTTTTGCGAAGAATTGGAGAAGACGAAGATAGAGAACGAGGTGATGTTTCTCGTATCCCACACTCCTAGTTGGATGAAGATATGCTGATAATTCACTGGGAAGTCTATTTGAAATTTTAAAGATTGACTTAAGTTTATAGTTGTTTGTAACCAAATCTAGAGTATCATATGCTTATTCAGTTCGTAGGCTGAGGTATATGGCATTTATTTCAAACTTCATAGAATTGTAAAGGAGAAATTTAAAGTAATTCTAATAATAATAATATTACTTCTTTAAAGTACATTTTGACAGGAATCAGTTCATGTTTTAACAGATCGTAGATTTTACAGTAGGTATTAAAAGAGAACAAATTGTAAAGGTAACATCACATCAGACTATTGTGTTATGTTCACTTTACGTGACGAATGAAAACGTGACATTTTCAGTAACAGTAACATCACACCAAACTATTTTGTTACGTCACGTGACGTGAGGAATGAAAACGTGACATTTTCAGTAAAGGTAACATCACACCAGACATTTCCAGGTAATATATATATATTTACCTAAGTGTTCCTCGTAAGCTTCCAATGGCTCAGCTGTAATTCGATAGGCTTATAACGCTAAAAATGAGGTTTCGATACCTATAGTGAGACACAGTACAGATAACTCATTGTATAGTTTTATGCTTAACAACAAACAAACAAAGATACCGGTAATAAAATTTCATTGCGATTGTTGCGTTTAGAACAATTTCAGTGCTCCGTTGCTATTATGGCCAATTTTTCCCAAGTCTATCATTATAGCATCATAAATTGATAAAACTGTAAGAAAAAAATTGACGCGTCTGTGGTTGTATTGTAATTTTGAAGAAACTCTCGTTATCTTAATCTTCGGAGGAAGTTTCAGGAACGTATTTTGATGAAACAAAAGAAGAGGAACAAATAAACCAAAGCGTAGCGTCAATGATTCTAACTTTTTATGTCTAAACATCAGAGTAAACTCACCTCAACATTACATCTCGTAGATATTCACACAACTTATAGTGGTTCGACGGAGTAGAAACTAGAATTGCAAAGAAATGGAAACGCATTTCGAGTCTACCCGACCTTGTTAAATATCTGAACTTTAGAATAATCTAATTTAGACAAATTAAAGAACCGGAGGAACGAATAAAGTTCTGGAGAATCTACAAAGTTTCAGCGATGCCTGATTAGCTTTAAAGAACTTTGTTTTTGATGAAGCTATAAGTTGTAAGGATGGTAGTTCTAAACTAAGAGCAAAGTGACACGTGATACAAAGAGTGTCTCTTGTGTCACAATGCACGTGGACTCATGTAATTCCTCATTATTAAGTCTAGACGGAAATCACATTAAAATGATATCTTTAGAAGGCGTTGTCTCTTCTGTTGGAAAAATTAAATCTATATACACGGTTGAAAAAGAAGCATTTTCTATTTTCTGCGCCTTGTTATCTGATTGTCTGTCTGTCTTAAGTCCCCACAACAACCAAGCTGGCAATCATCTTAACTAGGGTAAGTCTCTCGTGTCCTACACTAGCAAGATATGAGCCTTAATGATGCAATTTAGACGAATCTTTAAAAAAAGACAAACCTTTTGCTAAAAACATGCGTGTACGAAAGGTCATAAAGCTGCTGACAAATTCTTATCGTGAAGTTAGGCTGTATGACTGCGCGAGTTTTAACAACATAACTTCCGCTGTTGCTGCTGCAGTGTTCCACTTTGGTGAGGATGCCAAGGGAAAAAAAAGAAAAGTATAAATACAATAATGCAGAGTCTCAGTAAGTACGAAGCGTTAAGATAGATATATACTATAATGCAGAGTCTCACTAAGTACGAAGCGTTAAGATATGATATATACATAATGCAGAGTCTCAGTAAGTACGAAGCGTTAAAAGATGATATATAGTATAATGCAGTGTCTCACTAAGTACGAAGCGTTAAAAGATGAGATATACTATAATGCAGAGTCTCACTAATAACGAAGCGTTAAAACGTGATATATACATAATGCAGAGTCTCACTAAGTACGAAGCGTTAAAAGATGATATATACTATAATGCAGAGTCTCACTACGTACGAAGTGTTAAAAGATGATATATACATAATGCAGAGTCTCACTAAGTACGAAGCGTTAAAAGATGATATATACTATAATGCAGATTCTCACTAAGTAAGAAGTGTTAAAAGATGATATATACTATAATGCAGAGTCTCACTATAAACGGGGCGTAAAAATATGATATATACATAATGCAGAGTCTCATTAAGTACGAAGCGTTAAAACGTGATATATACATAATGCAGAGTCTCACTAAGTACGAAATGTTAAAAGATGATATATACTATAATGCAGAGTCTCACTATAAACGGAGCGTAAAAATATGATATATACATAATGCAGAGTCTCATTAAGTACGAAGCGTTAAAAGATGATATATACATAATGTATAGTCTCATTAAGTAAGAAGCGTTAAAAGATGATATATGCATAATGCATACTCTCATCAAGTAAGAAGCGTTAAAAGATGATATATACATAATGCATAGTCTCATTAAGTAAGAAGCGTTAAAAGATGATATATCCATAATGCATAGTCTCATTAAGTAAGAAGCGTTAAAAGATGATATACATAATGCATAGTCTCATCAAGTAAGAAGCGTTAAAAGATGATATATACATAATGTATAGTCTCATTAAGTAAGAAGCGTTAAAAGATGATATATCCATAATGCAGAAGTTCTTTAAATACCTAGCTTTAGAAAATGACATTTACGTAACGAAGAATGTTACTAGATACTAATAAATAATATATAAATTACATACAAAACACAGAACAGACACTATAAGAGGACCTGAATAAAACACTTGAGCTCTCGGAATGAAATAGTGTGTAAGCTGTGTTTTGTTGTAATTAAAATGAAAGTGAATGTAATCTACGAGTCATAAGAAATCTTGGTAGAAAGAAAGATAAGTATAACAAATAAATCATTAGTTCAAAGATGGTTAGACAATGAGATAAGTATAACAAATAAATCATTAGTTCAAAGATGGTTAGACAATGAGATAAGTATAACGAAAAAATCATTAGTTCAAAGATGGTTAGACAATGAGATAAGTATAACGAAAAAATCATTAGTTCAAAGATGGTTAGACAATGAGATAAGTATAACGAAAAAATCATTAGTTCAAAGATTGTTAGATAGTGACTTAGGTATAACGAATAAATCATTAGTTCAAAGATGGTTAAATAGTGAGATAAGTGTAATGAATAAATCACTAGTTCAATAATGGTTAGATAGTGAGATAAGTATAACGAATAAATTATTAGTTCAAAGATGGTTAAATGGTGAGATAAGTACAAGGAAACAATCATTAGTTCAAAGATGTTTAGATAGTGAAATAAGTATAACAAATAAATAATTACTTTAAAGATGGTAAGATAGTGAGATAAGTATAACGAAACATCATTTGTTCAAGAATAGTGAGATAAAAATAACGCAAAAAATATTAGAACCAATAATCTATTCGCTATACTTATCTCCCTATCTAATGTTATCTCTATATTAGTAAGATATTGAGGTAAATATAACAATTAAACAATTAGTTCAAAGATGGTGAGATAGTGAGGTAAGTATAACGAATAAATAATTAGTTCAAAGATAGATAAATAATGAGATAAGTATAACGAAACAATCATTAGTTCAAAGATGTTTAAATAGTGAGATACGTATAACGAAAAAATCATTAGTTCAAAGATGGTTAGATTGTGAGATAAGTATAACGAATAAATCATTAGTTCAAAAAAGGTTAAATAATGAGATAAGTATAATAAATAAATCATTAATCCAATATATGTTAAGTAGTGAGATAAATATAACGAATAAATTATTAGTTCAAAGATAGTGAGATAATTATAACGAAAAAATCATTAGTTCAAAGATGTTTAGATAGTGAAATAAATACAACGAAAAAATTATTAGTTAAAATATGGTTAGATAGTGAGATAAGTATAACGAATAAATTATTAGTTCAAAGATAGTGAGATAAATATAACGAAAAAATTATTAGTTTAAAGATGGTTAGCTAGTGATATAAGTATAACGATTAAATTATTAGTTTAAAGATGGTTAGCTAGTGAGATAAGTATAACGAATAAATTATTTGTTCAAAGATAGTGAGATAAATATAACGAATAAATTATTAGTTCAAAGATAGTGAGATAAGTATAACGAAAACATTATTAGTTCAAAGATGGTTAGATAGTGAGATAAGTATAACGAATAAATCATTAATTCAAAGATGTATAGACAGTGAGATAAATATAACGAAAAATTATTAGTTCAAAGATAGTGAGATAAGTATAACGAAAAAATCATTAGTTCAAATATGGTTAAATAGAGAGATAAAAATAACGAAAAACTCATTAGTTCAAAGATGGTAAGATAGTGAGATAAGTGTAATGAATAAATCATTAGTCCAATAATGGTTAGATAGATACTTATCTCAAACGAAAAAATCATTAGTTCAAAGATGGTTAGATAGTGAGATAAGTATAACGAAAAAATAATAATCAGTTTAAAGATGATTAGATAGTGAGATAAGTATAACGAAAAAATCATTAGCTCTGAAATACTATTTATCACAACACTATTTTATTCTCGGACTTGGTGAGCTGTCGTAATGTTCATACGGGCATGGACATTAACCTGTTGTATATTTTGCACCACAGAATCTTAATTGATAGGCTCAAGATATGGGTTACGGGGGCATTTCATTGACGGACATCGTATGGGTTTTGTAGGGTTACTACTTGCACATGTTTTTATGTACCTTGATGCTTATTGAGGCCCATCTTTCATGCGAAATTTTTTAAAGACTTTAGGTTGGATGATAAAAGGTCAGTTTTAGCAGCTTTGGAAAACAATCTTTTTTTTTGTACTCATGATAAGAATCCTGGCGGATGTAAACGTGAATGTCATGAAAATGGCAGATATTCACCTTTTAGGATGACGTGATTAGTAAATCTACGAAAAAATTGCTATAAGATGGGTAACTGCCTTTTTTTTTTCAAAGAGAAGTAGAAAAAGTAATAATATATATTCTTCTATAAGAGAATGGAACATTGTAACTCCAGAAACACGCGTTATGCCGGATATCTTGCGTATATTGATCCTCAGTTCGCATGCTGGACAATGGACTGTCTTCGTGTATATGATGGATGACTTGAAATGAGATCCAAGTCACGAGCACCTTCGTTGGATAGGCAAGTTAGTTCGAAACTAGAAAAGTGGACAAAAGAAAAGACCGATAGCACGTGCGAAAAATCTCAACGGCTGTTAACTGTGACATACAATTACATTTGATGACTGGGCTGTTTTTCACTCAGGAAGTGAACCCTCCTGTCTACCATCTTTCCTCACTCTCTTGTTTTTTGTTTACGCTGTTTCTTTCACCTGTTATTAAGAGTGAGAGCTGAAAAGAAATGTTTCTGGAACTGATAAAACAACAATGCAAGTAAAGAAAGACTAAAGCATAAACTGTAAAGGAGATGATTCAGATAACGATATGTAGGTTGTTATTAAGTACAAAGCTACATAAAGGGCTTTCTGTGCTCTGCCCATCACGGGTATCGAAACCCAGTTTCTAGCACTATAAGTCTGCAAACATACCGCTGCGCCACTGGGAGGCAATGATATGGGTTTAAAGTAAACTCACTCAAAGCATTGTATACAAGTTTTTAACTGTAGTTTTCCAGATTTAGTACCAGTTGTGTGCGAAAAATAATAACTGAAAATACATTTGAAACGAAGTTAATTAGTTTTACAACTCCATTCTAACTAACAACAGTTACTGAATAAAAATGTGTTCATTTATGTACACTTTAATAAAAATCATAGTGTTTTTGTACACCATTTTCTCTATGCACATTCAAATAAAAAGTCATTGTGTGTTACAGTTTTTACACCTTTTTCTCTAGACACATTCAAATAAAAAATCATAGTGTGTTACAGTTTTTACACCCTTTTGTCTAGACACATTCAAATAAAAAATCATAGTTTGTTACAGTTTTTACACCCTTTTCTCTAGACACATTCAAATAAAAAGTCATTGTGTGTTACAGTTTTTACACCTTTTTCTCTAGACACATTCAAATAAAAAATTATAGTGTGTTACAGTTTTTACACCCTTTTGTCTAGACACATTCAAATAAAAAATCATAGTGTGTTACAGTTTTTACACCCTTTTCTCTAGACACTTTCAAATAAAAAATTATAGTGTGTTACAGTTTTTACACCCTTTTCTCTAGACACATTCAAATAAAAAATCATAGTGTGTTACAGTTTTTACACCCTTTTCTCTAGACACATTCAAATAAAAAATCATAGTGTGTTACAGTTTTTACACCCTTTTCTCTAGACACATTCAAATAAAAAATTATAGCGAGTTAACATTTTTACACACCTTTTACTCTATGC